TAAGCAATTCCACGAAGCAAGTTTGGAAAAGGTCCCTGCAGACATGAATTCCATGACATACAGAGAATTGCTACAGGTGCTGGTCAATTACTTGGAGTCTAAAAGGTACATGGTTGTATTGGATGATGTGTGGGATATCAAACTTTGGAAAGAAATGAGGATAGCACTCCCAAATACACAGTTTGGAAGTCGAATCATGCTTACCACTCGAAGAGAAGACATAGCGTCCTATTCTTTTGGAGTACAAAGTCATATTCACCACATTCAACCCCTCGAAAAGAATGATGCTTGGGAGCTATTCAGCAGCAAAGCATTCTCAGCTTACCAGAATAAATGTTGTCCACCAGATCTTCAATCATTGGCTAAGGAACTTGTAGAAAAGTGTGAAGGCCTACCTCTGGCCATCGTGGCTTTAGGTGGTCTGATGTCTTCCAAGAAGTCATTAGAATGGATCAAAGTCTACAACAGCTTGAATTGGCATCTAACTAACCATCCGTTGCTAGAGCCAGTGAAGAGCATCTTGTTGTTTAGTTTTGATGATTTACCATACCCATTGAAGCACTGTTTTCTATACTGTTCCCTTTTTCCAGAAGACTATTTGATTAGAAGAAAAAGGCTCATTAGGTTGTGGATAGCTGAAGGGTTTGTTCAAGATGTCAAAGGCGCCACATCAGAAGAAGTTGCTGAGAGCTATCTTATGGAGCTCATTTTCCGTAGCATGCTACATGTTGTTTGGAGGAATGCAAGTGGAAGGCCAAAAGCATGCAAGATGCATGACCTCATGCGGGAACTTGCTCTGTCTAAATCAGAAAAAGAAAAGTTTGGTGCTGTATATGATGGAAAAGAAGTTATGGACGAAGTTCAAGTGCGCCGCTTGTCAATTAAAACCACTGGAGGAGAAATTAAATTAGGCACTGGTATGGCACAACTTCGTTCTCTTCTTGTGTTTGTTACTGACATGTCCTCATCCTCTTCCTCGAATACATTGCCTTCTGGATTCAAATTGTTGAGGGTGCTAGATTTGGGATATGTTCCAATTGATATACTGCCAAAAGAACTTGAGTACTTATTCAATTTAAGATACTTAAATTTAAGGGGAACTCCAGTTAAGAAGCTTCCTGAATCCATTGGAAAGCTCCGGAACCTTCAAACTTTGGATATCAGGAACTCAAAGATAGAGGCACTTCCAAGTGGAATTGCCAAGTTGCAAAACTTGCGTCATCTAATGATGTATCGTTACACTGAAGAGCCTAGGGCCTTCAGATATGTGAATGGGACAAGATCACCATCAAATATATGTATGTTGAAGAAATTGCAAGTTTTGGTGGGTGTTGAATTAGAAGGAAACATTGTTAGACTTATGGGTAATATGACCCAACTTAGAAGGATTGGAATTTCGAATGTAAAAGAAAGAGACGAGATGGACCTATGTGCCTCAATTCAAAAGATGAAGCTCCTTCACCAGTTGTTTCTAAAGACAAGCGATGAAGAGGAAGTTCTTCAAACAAACGCACTATGCTCACCTCCTCCCCACCTTCGAAGGGTTATTTTGGCTGGCAAATTGGAAATTGTGCCACGTTGGTTCGTTTCACTCAAGAGCCTCACACAATTGTATCTGCATTGGTCTAGAATTGAAGAAGATTTACTACCTTACATTGAAGCACTGCCCAATCTGGGAAATCTTTCACTTATTAATGCATATGCCGGCAAAGAGTTATGTTTCAGCGGAGGCTTTGCAAAGCTTACGAGATTGCGTTTGTCTACTTGCCCCTTACTGAACAAGGTAACTATAGAAAAAGGGGCGATGTCAAATCTCCAAACCTTATGGTTTGATAACTGCCCAGAACTAAACACAATGCCACAGGGTCTTCAATACCTCACTGAACTAAAAGTATTGACATTGGGGCTTGTATCAAAGGAACTTATGGATTCCATACGAGAAGGAGGTGTGGATCGTGAAAAGGTACAACACATCCTTGAGATCTACCATTATTACAAATCGTCACTGGGGTTGCGTCGTGAAAGCTTGTCCTAGTTGTTTTTGAAGGAGGTATGTAAGGTTTTAATTTATTTTTTGGTCTCCTCGTTTTCCTTTTTCGCTTCTTATATATGCCTTGAGCTCCATAATCTTGCATCATATAAACTATTCTGGTACAAACTATTGTCATCCACAAGTTGTTAAGGCCATGTATTTTTGTCCATGGACTAAATACTAAGTCTGCAATAGTTAGTTTCGATGGCACAAGAATTTTGTATTGAAATTTTGTTTGATTATCATTTCGCTTTTGTTGTTTGCCATGCAGAATCTAGTCGGAGATTGAAAGATTTTACACAGTTGCGCCTAGAAGAACCCTTGCTTTCTTGTGTGAGGCTGCAAATCTTAATTATTTTCCATCACTATTTCAAGTTTTATTTGAAGCCATTTGGTCATTAGTGAGTTTTGCTTTGAGACTATGGAATCTTGTGTAATTTGATTTGTGAGTGTGTTTGCTATTTGATTATGTAATGCCTTGGGAAGCACTAATTAGTATCTAATGCTCAATTTGATTTTGAGAGTTTCCTATACTTGTACATTGCTAATCATCTTTTGCTGCTCTGGAAAACTTTTAACAACCGTAAAACATGTATAATTGTATAGGGAAAAACATGAACTTGCTTGTATTCCGTTTAAATTTGTTTTATCAAAATAACATAGTTGACGAAATTTTTTTGCAAGACCATCCCCTCTAATAGATTGCACTCTGCTCTATTTAGTAAGGAAGAGAGATGCGACATCATTGCTAATTCCATTCTAATTTTTGCCTGATAGCCTGAAAAAAGCAAGACATATTTAGTGGTAGCTGGCTAGTATAAGTCCACTCCATCCTTCTATTAAAATATATTGCCTTTTAAATTGAGTTATGAATTTAAGGTTTTAATATGAGAATTCATTCTGCAACTAATTTGAAGACTTTTTCAACATCATCAGAGTATAATAACAATGCAAGGCAGGGGAATGGTGCAATCAGGAAGAAAATGAAAACCATGCCTACTCCATTTCCAAATAATAAGTTAGCAAGAAGCAGAGAACAAAATAAGCAAGTAGAACTCTGATGGTTTTACCAAAGCAGCAGAATATGATTAATAATTGCAAAGATACCACAGGTTGAAGGAACTTGATGGTAGAATCAAAAATCCAGAATTATTAGCTCCTGACTATAGTAGTGTTTGTTGTTGCATCTTCACACAAATTCATCTTTGCACCGTGCTTCTCCAATTTGTTTCTTTAAATGGATATTGTGGGAACCGAATTAAATCATACCCTAGGTCAAATAATTCCTTCCATTTGGGGATTATTTGACCTATTTGGGAATTACTCAACCTAATTGGGAGTTACTCAATTTAATTGGGAGTTACCCAATTAAATTGAGAATTACCTAATTAAGTTGGGAATTGATTTGATTCCTACCCCAATTCCCAATTAAATGAGGAGTTACCTAATTAAATTGGGATTTGATCTGATACCTACCACGATTAGGGATTTGATTTACCCAAATAAATCAAATCCCTAATTAATCAAATCAATGCCAAATCAGGGAGGAATAATTCCTTACCAACTACGGAATTATTCCTCTGAAACCCTAATCTCCGAGACCATTATAAATACTTGGCTACGCACAAAGGTCAAGGTACGTCTAAATTCCTACTGAAACTCTGCAGAAATTATTTCTCACAAACCCTAGCCACCACTTTCTTTCTCTCTCTGACACAAGGCTCCGGCCACCACACACGGCTCCGGCCACCCGGTTTTCCTTGAAATACCCTACCTAACTTAGGCATCGGAGGGCCTTTGGCCAACACCCCCCGGGTGTGGTCCTTTTACCCCGATTTGTTTTGCAGGGAGAAAGAGAAGTGGAGAAGACGAAGGAATCTTAGACGAATATTCCCGTGAGGAAATTTGTACAAACAAATTGGTGCTTTCATTGAGAGCACGAGATATATTCAAAGCGTGCTCAAAATCCATCTTTCACACAGTTTTTTCAAACAACCATGGTTGATACAAGACGTACGAAGAGTAACGCCACCACGACGGGCCCATCTCATGGTTTCGTGGTGGAAACCTCAATGCAACCGCACGGAATCATGGCTGCCAACGCCTTGCAGCCGTCTTCTAGTGCTTTGCAGCCGCTTTCAACTGCTGGAATTGCAGAACAGCCGCCACATGACCCTGGGACCTCCACAGCCTTGCAGTCGCCAGCGCCGATTAACGGAGCTGCTCTGCCTCGCTGTCCTGCCGTCGGAGCACAGCAGCAGCCACACCACTTAACTACCGGACTTGCTGCACAGCCCCATGGCTACTCTGACATCGTCCCAGTCTTGGAGCAGATCCATTCTCTCCCTCCTCTGCGATCACACTTGACATATGCACCTGTGTACGCGTCCAATGGAGCCCTAGCCCACATGCCGTTGGGCCCAATGCACACCACCCTACTTGACCCGGGCAGTCAGGTGGACCTTAACTCGCGGGTTGATCAACTCACACAGAAGGTCGATGATCAAAACAACCTGATTGGCCAGCTACTCAGGCAGATCAACTTGAATCAAGGCCCCAATCTTGGACCCCGTGACGAGGAGAGGAGGGCACACGAGCATGCTGGCGAGCAGTTCGAGAGGTCCCAGGCTAGTCAGACAAGGGCAAACCGGCAGGGAAGAGAGCGAGATCGTGCAGACAGCTGCGAGCCGTACTCTGAGCCGTTCGAGGCTAGGACCCAGGACCAATGTGCTCGAGAGGCTAGGCCCACAATCCAATGTTCGTGCTCGCTTAGGTCCACAAGGAGCTCGAGTTCGTGAGCGGTCGCGGCGACAAGCTGTGGAGGGATCCTCCCAAACTCAACCTTCTCTCCTGCCCCATCGGCAGGGCAACCAAGGGGATCGACCCTTGGGAGCCGGAGAAGAAGTTAGCCGATCACGTTCGAGGCACCGAAGACGTCGACCTGAACGACCTTCCTTGCAAGCAGAGGATGACGATCAACGCTCACCAGCCCGCTCGAGGTCCAACATGCGGCGACAAGCTGTGGAGGGATCCTCCCAAACTCAACCTTCTCTCCTGCCCCCCCCGGCAGGGCAACCAAGGGGATCGACCCTTGGGAGTTGGAGAAGAAGTTAGCCAGTCACGCTCGAGACATCGAAGACGCCGACCTGAACGACCTTCCTTGCGAGCAGAGGGTGACGATCAACGCCCACCAGCCCGCTCGAGGACCAACACGCGGCGACAAGCTGCAGAGGAATCCTCACAAGCTCAATCTCCTAATCTGCCTCACGGGCAGAGCACCCAAGGGGATCGACCCTTGGGAACCGAGGAAGAAGCTAGCCAGTCGCGCTCGAGGCACCGAAGACGTCGGCCCGAGACTCCAACCCTGCGAGCAGAGGATGTCGCAAAGCTGGTAAATGACCAACTCCGAGGTCTCCGACTCAAAGGAAGCGCGGAGGAGGCCCTGTGCAAGGAAATTGATCGAGTTGACCGCTCGCCCTTTACCGACGAGGTGGAACGAGCTCCGCCGCCAAAGCGGTTTACAACGCCATCCATCACTCCATTCAAGGGGGACTCTGACCCTGAGAGCCATTTGAGGCACTTCAAGAGCGCCATGATCCTGTACAAGGCAGACGACGCCCTGATGTGCAAAGTGTTCGCGATGACTCTGCGAGGAGCAGCTCAGGATTGGTTCCACACTCTACCGTCCGCGTCAATAGGCAACTTCATGGAGTTCGCCATCATTTTCACAAAGGAATACACCTCCTACAAGACGGTCAGAAAGCATGCAGACCACCTGTTCAACCTGCGCAAGAAGCCAGACGAGTCTCTACGAGACTACTTGAGACGGTTTAAGGCTGAGAAGGCTAACATCATAGGATGCAACGACCAAGTTGCATCCTCAGCATTCAAAAAGGGCTTGCCAACCGAGCACGAGCTATACCGGGAGCTGGCCATAACTCCAAGTCAAACCTTGGCAGAAGTGTTCGCGACGGCAGAGCGCTACGCACTTTGGGACGATGATCGTATCGCCGCAAAGAAAGCTAGCAAGCAAGTTGACCACCCGACGAAGCAGGCAAGCCAAAAGAGCAACAAGTTCGAGCAAAAAGCCCGAGATAAGCGCAGATCGCGGCCCCAAAAGGGAAGCTTAGAAACAGGGACCTTCACCGAGTTCGCTATCCCAATCCACCAGATCCTAGCTCAGGTGAAAGATAAGCCGTGGGTGAGGAGACCACCACCCATGAAGGGAGACCCCTCTAAAAGAGACACCAGCAAATACTGCGCATTCCACGGGGAGCACGGTCATTACACCAACAACTGCAACGCTTGGAAAAGGCACCTTGAGGAGCTGGTCAGAGAGGGCCATTGCACAGAGTTCGTTGCAAAGAAGGCTATCCAGCAGATCGAGGATCGTGATGTAGCTGCCAAGGAACCTCCCCAAAAGGTCATTCGAATCAACACCATTCTAGCCGACTCCCAAGAGTCCGGGCTGACCACCAAGGAGCGCAAGAGAAAGATCGCGCAGGCAACTTATGTCTCCCAAGTCACAACGGGAGTACCAGCTGTTGGGGATACACCTATCATCGGCTTCCAGAAGAAGGACTTGATCGGGCTTGACCTGCCACATAATGACGCCCTATTCATCTGCATCCAAATTGAACAAGCTGTGATCGAGCGAGTTCATGTAGATGAGGGCAGCGCAGCCAACATCCTGCAACTATCTGTTATCCAACAGATGGGGTTCGAGCCCAAGATTAGCAAACTTGCCAGATCGCTCACCGGCTTCAATGGGGCCACATCAATCACTATTGGAACGATCGACTTGGATGTCCACTCACCCCCAGTGGTCTGCTCACAGACCTTCATGGTCATCGACGAGGTTTCCCCCTACAACGGAATCTTGGGCCGACTGTGGATCAGCAAGATCGAGGCCGTCACATCTGCTCTACATCAGAAGATCCGCTATCCCATCCCTGGGGGCGGGATCGGGCAGATCAACAGTAACCAAGCCATGGCAAGGAGATGCACCGCCCAAGGGCTCAAGAAGAGCAAGCTGCTGCAGTTCACACCAGTAATGCAAGCTGCCAACGTGGCAGGAAGCGCTCTTAGCAGACAAGCAAACCCGAAAGGGAAGGAAGTTGCTGCCTCACAATAGCAGTTAAGGAACCAGGATCGAGATGAGGGAATCCGCCCGGAAGACTCCCCTGAAAAGGGTTGGAAGCCTGAGGATGACGTTGAGTTAGTACCTCCTGATCCTGGCCAGCTAGACAAAGAGGCGCAGATCGGCTTGTGCCAGAATCCGAACAAGAAGGATCGAGACGAGGGAATCCGCCCGGAAGGCTCCCTTGAAGAAGGTTGGAAGCCTGAGGAAGACGTTGAGTTAGTACCCCCCGATCCTGACCAGCCAGACAAAGAGGCGCAGATCGGCTCGTGCCAGAATCCGAACAAGAAGGATCGAGACGAGGGAATCCGCCCGGAAGGCTCCCTTGAAGAAGGTTGGACGCCTGAGGAAGACGTTGAGTTAGTACCCCCCCGATCCTGATCAGCCAGAGAAGGAGGCGCAGATCGGCTCGCGCCAGAATTCAACCAAGAAGGATCGAGATGAGGGAATCCGCCCGGAAGGCTCCCTTGAAGAAGGTTGGAAGCCTGAGGAAGACGTTGAGTTAGTACCCCTCGATCCTCACCAGCCAGACAAGAAAGCGCGGATCGGCTCGCGCCTAAGCCCAGACGAGAAGATGGAGCTGACCATCTTCCTCCAGAACAACAAAGACATGTTCGCGTGGTCACCATCTGACATGCCTGGCATTGACCCAAATATCATCTGCCATCGGCTCCATGTCAACCCTGCTAGCAAGCCCGTGGTGCAGAAGAGACGCAACTTTGCTCCCGAGCGGGTCGCGATCATTGAAGCCGAGATCGACAAGCTCCTAGCTGCCGGTTTCATTGAAGAGGTCTCCTACTCGGAATGGCTGGCTAACGTTGTTCTGGTGGCGAAACAAGAAAAGGGAAAATGGAGAGTATGCGTTGATTACACCGACCTCAACAAAGCATGCCCTAAAGACAACTTCCCATTGCCGAGAATCGACCAGCTCGTGGATTCAACTTCCGGCAACCAGCTGCTCAGCTTCATGGATGCTTACTCCGGCTATAATCAAATTATGATGTACGATGATGACAAGGCGAAGACCTCTTTCATCATCGAAAGAGGGACCTACTGCTACAAGGTCATGCCCTTTGGGCTGAAGAACGCTGGAGCAACCTACCAAAGGCTCGTGAATAAAATTTTCAAGGAGCAGATCGGCAGAACCATGGAGGTGTACGTGGACGATATGCTGGTTAAAGCCCCCAAGCGGGCAGACCACCTCAAAAACCTCACCGAGGCGTTCAGCCTACTCCGCCAATATCGCATGAAGCTGAATCCAAGTAAATGCACGTTCGGTGTATCGTCTGGCCGGTTCCTAGGGTACTTAGTGACGCAACGAGGTATCGAGGCACACCCGCGCCAAATCAAAGCCATTCTCGAGATGAAGTCGCCTTCCACAGTGAAGGAAATACAAAGCTTGACGGGCAGAGCAGCGGCCCTTAACAGATTCCTCTCAAATTCTACCGACAAGTGCAGACCATTCTTCAAAGCTTTGAAGAAAGAACAAAAAGACAAATGGAACGAAGAGTGCGAAGTAGCTTTCGAATCTAAAGACCTACTTTACTTCACCTCCCTTGCTCTCAAAGCCAGTTCCTGGTGAAGACTTGTTCGTGTACCTGGCAGTGTCCAACTCGGCCGTCAGCTCAGCTCTCATCCGAGAAGAACTTGGGGCCCAACATCCGATATTCTACACGTCAAAAGCTCTCCTCGATGCAGAGACTCGCTACCCGAAATTGGAAAAGCTCATTTTGGCCCTTGTGGTTTCTGCAAGAAAGCTGCGACCTTATTACCAAGCTCACCGAGTCATCGTCATGACCGACTTTCCTTTGAGATCAATCCTCCACAGCCCTGATGCTTCTCAGCGACTCATGAAGTGGGCTATAGAGCTAAGCCAATACGACCTCCTCTACCGGCCGAAGACTGCAATAAAAGCTCAAGCCTTAGCAGACTTTGTTGCAGAATTCACACCATCAGCCGAAGAAGAGAAGCTGGTCAGCAAAAAGAAGGAAAGTTCGAGAGCAGACAAGACCTCTACTGAACCTGACCAACCCAGAGACATGTGGCAGTTGCGCGTAGACGGAGCGTCGAACCAGAAAGGAGCTGGAGCAGGCGTCGTCATCATCACCCCAGATGGAACCCTGTTAGAGCAAGCTATCACGCTTGGCTTCCCGGCTTCAAACAACGAGGCAGAGTACGAGGCATTGCTCGCTGGCTTGCGCTTGGCAAAGGAGCTATCAATCAAAAAGCTGGCCATCTACTCAGATTCCCAGCTGATCACAAGTCCAGCCTCAGGAGAATATATGGCGAAGCACCCAAGGATGATCTTGTACCTGGACAAAGTTCAAGAGTTGTTGAAGGCGTTTCCCACCTTCACCATCCAGCAAGTTCCCAGAGCAGAGAACGCGCACGCAGATGCACTGGCAAGCTTAGGATCGGCGCTGGATACCCAGTTTAGACGCTCCATCCCGGTCGAGCACCTTGACCAGCCTAGCATAGAGGAGGCAGAGCAGCCGGACCTGATGCAGATCGATGAGGATCCTAGCTGGCAAGACCCAATTATTGACTACCTAGTGAATGAAAACCTGCCCAAGGACAAGTCCGAGGCCAGAAAAATCAAGCAGAAGGCTGCAAGATACTACATGAAAAGCGACATGCTTATCCGTAGATCATACTCCGGGCCTCATCTCACTTGCATCAAGTACCCGCAAACGCTCGAGGTTCTTTGCAAGATACACGACGGCGAATGTGGAAATCACGCTGGGGGCAGCCACTGATTACTTCCCCAAATGGATCGAGGTTTAGGCTTTATCTTCTACCAAGGAGGCCGATGTTGAACGGTTCATCTGGAACAACATTATTTGCAGATTCGGTTGCCCGCAATCAATAGTCACCGACAATGGTACACAGTTCGTGGGCAGGCAGACCACCGCATTCCTTGCGAAGTATGGCATCAAACAGCACCTGTCAACTCCCAGATACCTGCAAGGCAATGGCTAAGCAGAGGCATCCAACAAGATCGTGCTGGACTGCCTAAAGGAAAGACTGGAATGCGCAAAAGGAAAATGGGTCGACAGGCTACCAGGAGTCCTATGGGCTTATCGCACAACCAAAAGGAGATCAATCGAAGAGACCATTTTCCCTGGCCTATGGGAACATAAGCAATCATTCCCCCACACATCACAGTCTCTTCCATGAGCATCGAGGTGGGCAGTCTTGACCAAAACTGCAAGCAGATGAAAGTCAACCTTGATATGCTCGAAGAGGAACGAGGAAAGGTCATTGTTCGAGTTGCAGCTTACCAGCAACAGCTCACATCTTGCTACAATAAGAAGGCCATTGTTCGAGTTGCAGCTTACTAACAGTAGCTCACATCTTGCTACAATAAGAAGGCCATTGTTCGAGTTGCAACTTACCAGCAGCAGCTCACGTCTTACCATAGCAAGAAGACCATTGTTCGAGCAGCAGCATACCATCAGCAGCTGGCATCTTACAACAACAAGACCATTGTTCGAGTTGCAGCTTACCAGCTCGACTCCAAGTAGGCGACGGGCCTCCTTCATCTCCATTGCAGACAAGCTGCTCTGCGAAGCACGAACTCAATGGAGTCTTTTTCGAGCATTGTGTCCCTGACATACGCTCGCAGGCGACAAGCCTCATCTTCATTGCAGACAAGCTGCTCCCCGAAGCACGAACTCAATGGAGTCTTTTTCGAGCATTGTGTCCCTGACATACGCTCGCAGGCGACAAGCCTCATCTCCATTGCAGACAAGCTGCTCCACGAAGCACGAACTCAATGGAGTCTTTTTCGAGCATTGTGTCCCTGACATACGCTCGCAGGCGACAAGCCTCATCTTCATTGCAGACAGGCTGCTTCATGAAGCACAAACTCAATGGAGTCTTTTTTTGAGCATTGTGTCCCTGACATACGCTCGCAGGCGACAAGCCTCATCTTCATTGCAGACAGGCTGCTTCACGAAGCACAAACTCAATGGAGTCTTTTTTCGAGCATTGTGTCCCTGACATACGCTCGTGGGCGACAAGCCTCATCTCCATTGCAGACAGGCTGCTTCACGAAGCACAAACTCAATGGAGTCTTTTTCGAGCATTGTGTCCCTGACATACGCTCGCAGGCGACGAGCCTCATCTTCATTGTAGATAGGCTACTTCATGAAGCACAAACTCAATGGCGTCTTTTTTTCGAGCATTGTGTCCCTGACATACGCTCGCAGGCGACAAGCCTCATCTCCATTGCAGACGGGTTGCTTCACGAAGCACAAACTCAATGGAGTCTTTTTTCGAGCATTGTGTCCCTGACATACGCTCGTAGGTGACAAGCCTCATCTCCATTGCAGACAGGCTGCTTCACGAAGCACAAACTCAATGGAGTCTTTTTCGAGCATTATGTCTTTGACATACGCTCACAGGCAACAAGCCTCATCTCCATTGCAGACAAGCTGCTCCTCGAAGCACAAACTCAATGGAGTCTTTTTCGAGTATTATGTCCCCGACATATGCTCGCAGGCGACAAGCCTCACCTCCACTGAAGACAAGCTACTCCTCGAGTACAAACTTCATGGAGTCTTTTCAAGCGTCATGTCCCTGACATACGTACACAGGCGACGAGCCTTACCTCCATTGTGGGCAAGCTACTTCACGAGTACAAACTCAATGGAATCTCTTTCAAGTGCTATGTCTCCGGACGTACACTTACAAGATACAATGAGAATTGAAGTTTGAAAGGCAACTGAAAATTTCATAACAAAGCAGCCAACCAGCACCATCTACTCAACGGCCTCACCTGCCTACTCATTCGCATATGGTCTAGCCTTATCAGCTACGCCACCTTGAGAGTTGTCTTCCTCCATTGCAGCTTCATCTGCTATCTGCTCTTCAACTGCTTCTTCATCCACAACATTGCTCTGCTCACTTTGAGCAGGGGCAGGTCAAGATAAAGCTACTTACCGTCTTCATGTTCGAGAGGGCAACAAGGAGAAGCACTATTCCTGCAATCCAAGTATCCCAGCTTGTACGCATTAGCAACGATCTCATGCTTGGATGCCTCCGTGGCCTCAACATGAGTGTCGAACTTGACCAGCGGAGCTATCACCAACTTCTGGATCGGCAGTTCGCGCAACTTAAGGACTCTTTGCTCGAGCAGACGACTCTTTAGCTCTCTTGAGTCAGCTCCGTGCTTGACTGTTCGTGGCTTTGCAGACGAGTCGTGATTTCTAGACAAATGTACAGTCCTCTCAGTTTGATCCCAAGATCGGCACAAGCAACTCAAACCCTGCTTCTCAACACCTCCTCACAGGGTAGATCATGGGTTTTAAGCAGTTCGAGCGGATACCTGAGCAGAATGTCCCAGACCTCCTGCATGCCATTGATCTTCTTACTGTTCGTGCTGACGAGGCGCTTGATCCTGGCAGATGAAGAAGCAACTCCCATAGGGACATTCCCAGCAAACGAGACCCCCTTACGGAAGACTTGCTCGTGGAAGAATGAGGAAGCTTGGTCGAGGACTTCTCCCGCTCAACTGGCAGATCATCTAGGTCCAAGCCATGCAGCTCCCATCTTTCAACATCTTCGGCTGGGGGCAGACCATCAGCCTCCTTCTGATGTTCACTCAGCAACCAGCGCAATCCACAAAACCTGGCAAGGATGTTTAAAGCTTGATGAACATTGATCGTGTTCGAGGCGAGATTGAGCTTCTTGTGGATGTCATTTTCTACAAGCATGAGACAGAAGTCAGTCAAACACACAGCAAAGAATTCCATGGCAACTGTAGCAGATCATAGGGATGCAACTTACCATCACAGTAGGTGAGAGGAATGAGCGGACCGTCGCCAACCTCCCTTACCCGTCTGCCGCTGACTTCCAACATGTCCGTGCTCCACATGTGATCGCCTTGACTCATACTGTTCCTAGTTCGTGACACAAAAAGAAGAAGGAATTGAAGCAGTTTGGATCAACCACAAATAAGCCGACCCAAACTGCCACCTGCTCCAGCAGCAGGCCAGCTTGCCTCCAGCCCAGTTATAGCTGGACAACCCAAGTCAAAGACCAGTTGGCAAGTCAAAAGCCTCCTCCATTCAGGAGCCCAAATCCAAGGAGGAAGCCCAGTTACAGCTGGACAGCCCAACAAACAATTCACATCTCCTACATGCCACCACGTGCCATGCAGAAGCTGGGGGGCATTTGTGGGAACCGAATTAAATCATACCCTAGGTCAAATAATTCCTTCCATTTGGGGATTATTTGACCTATTTGGGAATTACTCAACCTAATTGGGAGTTACTCAATTTAATTGGGAGTTACCCAATTAAATTGAGAATTACCTAATTAAGTTGGGAATTGATTTGATTCCTACCCCAATTCCCAATTAAATGAGGAGTTACCTAATTAAATTGGGATTTGATCTGATACCTACCACGATTAGGGATTTGATTTACCCAAATAAATCAAATCCCTAATTAATCAAATCAATGCCAAATCAGGGAGGAATAATTCCTTACCAACTACGGAATTATTCCTCTGAAACCCTAATCTCCGAGACCATTATAAATACTTGGCTACGCACAAAGGTCAAGGTACGTCTAAATTCCTACTGAAACTCTGCAGAAATTATTTCTCACAAACCCTAGCCACCACTTTCTTTCTCTCTCTAACACAAGGCTCCGGCCACCACACACGGCTCCGGCCACCCGGTTTTCCTTGAAATACCCTACCTAACTTAGGCATCGGAGGGCCTTTGGCCAACACCCCCCGGGTGTGGTCCTTTTACCCCGATTTGTTTTGCAGGGAGAAAGGGAAGTGGAGAAGACGAAGGAATCTTAGACGAATATTCCCGTGAGGAAATTTGTACAAACAGATATGACAAGACAGAGCAATACCATAATCAAAATAAAATGGATGCACATATAACAGACTTTTAAAGGATCTAAAATGATTAAGCTTTGGAAAGTCAATGGAAGGACAGAAACTTACGGTGTGGGGAAAGAATCATGGGGTGAGCTTTCACCTTGCAGAAGAAGTCGCAGATGATGTTTCGTAAATTTGGTCAATTTCGCGGATGTGTTGTACCTTTGGATGATCCACGCCTCCTTCTCGTATATTTTCTATAATTTTCATTGGAACAGATCCCAATCTCAATGTTTCTAGACTCTGAAGGAATTCAAGACCATGTGGTAATGCCTTTAAGTTCATGCAGCAATGAAGTACTAACAACCGGAGTTTCGGCATCACACCTTCTTTTATTGTTATATTTTTCAAGAAGGAGAAATTAAGCAACTCCAGATGTGTGAGCTTTGCGAAGCCTATTTTGAAGCACAACTCATTCCCAACATAGGCATTAACAAGGATAAGCCTTCTAAGACAGGGCAGTGCTTCAATGTGTGGTAGTAGATCTTCTTTAAGTCTAGACCAACGTAGACTGATATTTGTGAGGCTCCTGAATGAAGCAAACCAACTTGGTACAGTTGCTAGTTTGCCGCTCAAAAGAAACCTTTGAAGGTGTGGCGGAGGACCTGGAAGAGAAGCAAGTGCATCGATTCAAAGAAATTCCTCTTCACTTGTTACCAATAAATACAGGTTGCATTGAAGCACAAAGGTTCATCTCATTACTTCCTTCTACATTTGTAATGCCAATGTGAGTAAGTTGGGTCAGGTTCCCAACAAGTTTAATATGTTTCCTTCTGAGTCTGATTCAACAAATGACAAAACTTGCAATTTTTCCAACATACAAATATTTGATGGTGCTCTAAATCCTTTGGCATATCTAAATTTCCAAAATGCTCCACTGTATCGATACATAATTAGATGGCGTAGGTTTACCAACTGAGCAATTTCTTTCGGAAGTGTTTCAATCTCTGTGTCGCTGATGTCTAAGGTTTGAAGATTGCAAAGCTGTCCTACGGATTCTGGAAGTTTTTTCATTGAAGTTCTACTCAAACTTAAATATCTTAAGTTGAATAAGTACATAAGACCATCAGGCAGTTCTTCAATTGGTACATCCTCCAAATCTAGAATCCTCAACAATTTGAATTGAGAAAGCAATGTACTTAATATAGACTGCGAGAATACACCAACGACAAACACATGAAATGAACAAAGCTGCGACATACCTTTGCATACTTTAATTTCTCCTTAAGATGTTTGAATTGACAAACGACGAGCTTTGATTTTTTCCATTACTTCTCTCCCATCATAGACAACACAAAACTTTTCTTTTTTTAATGTGGACAAAGCAAGCTCCCGCATAAGATCGTGCATCTTACATGCTTGTCTTATAGTTGGACACCTTACAACCTGCAACATGCTACAAAAATTGAGTTCCATAAGATAGCTCTCATAAACTTCTTCCAGTGTGACCCCTTTAACATGTTCAACGAAGCCTTCAGCTATCCACAATCTAATAAGCCTTTCTGCTCGAATCAAATAATCTTCTGGGAATATTGAACAATATAGGAAGCAATGTTTCAGTCGATATGGCAAATCGTTGAAACTGAGAAACAAGATTGTCTTCACAGGTTCTAGGAAATGATCATTTATTAGATTCCAATTTATGCTGTTGCAGACTTTTCTCCACTCCGTAGATGACTCCTTGGAAGACATAAGACCACCTAAAGCTACGATTGCTAGGGGTAGGCCTTTGCATTTCCCCAAAAGTTCTCAAGCTGATGATTCAAGCTCTGGTGGACAACGTTTATTATGGTAAGTTGAGAATGCTTTCTTGCTGAAGAGCTCCCAAGCCTCATTCTTTTTCAGCTGTTGAATACGATGAACATGGCTTTCTACTCCAAAGGAATAGAAGGCTATGTCTTCTTTTCAAGTAGTGAGCATGATTCGACTTCCAAGCTGTCTATTTGGAAGTGCTATCCTCATTTCTTTCAAAAGTTTTATATCCCACACGTCATCCAATACAACTAGGTACCTTCTAGACTCCAAGTAGGTTACGAGTATATGTAGCAATTCCCTATAGCTCATGGAATTGAAGTCTGCAGCTGCAGGGACCTCTTCCTTCGTTGCTTGGTGGACTTCCTTGATCAAGCTTCTAAACAAATCTTCAATCACATAACTTTGGGAAACCGTAATCCACGCATAACAGCTGAAATGTCTCTTCAGTTCACACTTTCATTGGTGAAGGTTTTTTGCAACTAGAGTTGTCTTCCCTGATCCTCCCATCCCGACCACAGAGATAACCGCTTGTTGTTGCTCTCCGTTCATCAGCCATCCCATCAATATTTGCTTCTTGTCTTCAGTCCCCACAAGTTCGTCTTCCTTAATATAAAGGTAAGACTCTGCTTGGTTTTCACCCATTTTTGAATGTCATCTGAACTTGTTCCTTCTAGGGGATCAATAACGTATCTTTGATTACTCTCTGTAATGTCTTTGATGGTTTTTGTGATTTTCTGTAACTTTTTACCAATTTGATGCCTATACCAAAGTTTCTTTGGAATGTGAAGGGCTTTGTGGAGGCAGCTTGCAAATCGCCCCCTATAATTTGGAATGTGAATGGTTTTGTGGAGCCACCTTGCAAATCGACCTCTGTTCCAATGGTTTGGAAAGCAAATGGTTTTGCGGAGCAAGCTTGCAAATCTACCCCCACTCTGCTGCTCATGCATTTGGTACATGAACTCATCAATGATATCTTCAACATTATAGGCCAAATCTCTCACACTAGCTACCCATGTCTCCCCTCCTTCTGTCTGCGGTTTCTTCCCCTCAGCATCCTTTAGGAAGGATTTCATGCTTATAAGCTCTTGCTTAATCTCATCAACTTGATCACGAACACCTACTATGGAGGATGCTTCGCTCTCAAGAATGCCTACAACTTTGCCACTCAAGAGATCGGTTGCAGCTGAGGCCATATTTGCTCTTCTACTGTATCTTCTTAATCATAAAATCATATGATCAGAAATGGAATTGCACTTTCCATCTCTCTAAGAAAATTTTGTGATAGAATTTATGGTGTGGTAAATCAAGACATAGAATAGAGTTGAAAACATAATTAAATGAAAATCAATAGATAACATTCCAAAATTAGAGTAGAGAGTGACATAACTATATCAGAATCTAAAATAATTTCAGTGACAACCATTTCAACTTTGTAGGGGATTCTGGTGCTCCATAAATGAAAGAAATTAGAAATCTTTTCTTAATCACACCAAATTGCAAATGATCCCTCACTTACATTACTATATCAGACTGACATGTGGGTGATTAAATATATCTTGGGTTCTCTGAACTCAGAAGCAAGTGATGTAGTGAAAATGTGAACAAACTCTGTGTACTTTGTCATATGCATGTAAGTCCACTCCCTCTTCCAACTTCTATTAAAATATATTTGCCTTTGAAAACGAGTGCTGTCATTGTAATCGTTACTTGTAAACAAATTATTCTATATTCCTACATTATAATTTTCAGATTCTGAAGTCTGTGAACTTGGATAACTCACAGTTGACTTTTGAAAATCCCAAGAGGTTCTAGAGGCAGAAACGAAGTAAGAAAATAGAACATGGCAGGCTTGAGCTGCTTCAAATTTGTGTTTTAACGCATCTTCAGAAGAAAATGTTCAGATAGTTTATTTATGGATCCATATTTTCTTTTTTGTTCTTTCCACGCAAGTTCTCATTGCATTTGGATCCTGACCATTGTTCACCTTGGAGGTTTCATTTCATGGACGGTGACGTGGATCCCCAGCCTCTACATTTAGCAACTATGCATTTACTATTATATTCCTGTTTAGTCGGTGCACTAGACACTAAGTTATATCAGGTTTGATAGGAATTTGAATTAGGTTATACCTTGGGGCCCAGGACTTTGTGAAATAAGAAAAGTTTTGAAGTCAATTAAAGGGGTCCTATTTATTTTCCTTTTGAGTGAACCATTGCTTGATCGGCTTAGAATGTTAGTCAAGTCGACCCTCGGTGATGAGTCGAGACGACTTGACCTAGCCCTATATAATTTAAGACCCTGCTCTCATCAAATATGTTCTCTAACCTAATCTCATCATAAAGAGAGAGCTAAAATAGTTTCTGTGAGAGAGCAGAAGTCTTAAGCCGTTCGTGTCTCTTGCTCGTGCTGTTGCTACTGCAACTAAATGAGTTCTAAGATCGTGTACTCAAGGAAGATGACGCCATGTATGTCTTCCATGTATTTCAGGTTCTGTGAAAGATCATGAACGCATATATGGAATCTAACATTTACCAGCATTTCGCAAGATTTGAACAATTCTAATAACCTACGACTCATGATATGATACGTCAATTGTTAACTTTTGACATGTATCTATTTAATTAACTCCAACTTAACACTGTAAGTTTAAAAGAATTATTAAAACAAAACAATAAAGAAAAAAGTAAAACCTTAGAAATCATCCTACCTACTTGACCCTGCAATTGCCATCCTATCCCACCCCTGATTCCTCTCCACCGTCTCTCCCTCTCTTCCATAAATGTGCATCATAGTAGTTGTGGTTTTTTTTCTTATCATAGGCTTATCTTTGTACCGTAGTTACAAATACCCAACCTTAATTGCAATCCTATAAAAAATAATAATAAAATGGCAACATCGGCATTTAGCAAGGATGAAGACTTCATCATAGTTGCTCAGTCATGCAAATTCCTAATTGTTTTGAATTGAGAGAGAGAGAGAGAGAGAGAGAGAGAGAGAGAGAGAGGGAAGGGGGTTGCCATTAGCTATGTCCAGCACGGATACGCAACACAGGGAAACGACAAATCTCAAAAAACTAAGACACGAGGACATGACAATGAAAAAATAATAATTTATAATAATACTTATATATATTAAAAAATAAAATATTGATGTTCATACTCTAATTTCACAATACTATATAGTGAAATTTAAGCTTTCCAAATCTTTCAAAATGTAGTTGATTGATTTTATATGAAATTATAATTGAATTAACACATTAGTTGACTTGTGTCCGGAGAGTGTCTTGACCATGGATGGGGATTGTCCTGATCGTAGACATGACGTTGACCGTTGAACACGGGTGTCTGACACTCTGACACTTGAGCTTAGTGAAGTGTGTGCAACATAGGCCATGAGTGAGGTGGGGAGGGGTGTGTCATGGGTGGTTGATAGGTTTATGGTTTTTTCTTTATTTATATAGATTTAATGTTGTTAAGTTGGAGTTAATTATATGGATAGGTGCCAAAATTTAAAAATTAACGTGTCATATCTTGAGTGGTTAGAATATTTACAAATTTATAAATAAACCCAATTCTAGACATGTATTTATAAAAAAACCCAAGCACTATTTAAACATAGAAACACACCCAAAATCAACCCCAAAATAAACAATTGTATATTTTTTGGGTGTGTTTATAAATGGGTTTTGAGTGTGTGTAATGATGGATTTTGGGTGTGTTTATAAAGTGTTTTGGGCGTTGAGTTTTTTTATAATTTCAGCCCTCATTTTGGGTGTTTTAGTGAAACTCCCATGAATATTTGAATGGTTCAAATCTTGTGAAATGCAGGTAAATGCACAATCACTAAATGTAGAGGCTCAATATCCTGATGACGTTAACATTGATATAAAACAAGGGAGCTGATTTTCTCACTCCCCTTTTCTCCACTTACACTCCCTTTTAATTTTTTTAATACTTTTTAATCAAGTTTGTTATTTTTTGTTCTTTATCTTTCCTATTCTACCCTTATCTTGAATTAAGGTTTTGATAATTAAAGAAAAAAAAGAGTTAATAGTTAGGAAAAAAAAAAAAAAAAAAAAAAAAAAAAAAAAAAAAAAAGGTCACAAAAAAGTCTTCTTCGTTCATCGTGTCCTTTCCACTTCTCCTACCCAGAGCTACTCTCAGAGCAATTCATGAAATAGAACAATCCTTTTCCTACCCAAAGCAAATACTCTTTAATTTTAGTGAAATGTTAGCTACGGATGAAGACCAAACATTAGAGTCCGAGTTGCCTAGACAAATATACAGTGTTAATTATTTTTTTACTTGATGAAAGGAAAAAGAATACTAAAAAATGTAGTGCAAGTTAAAAAATTAAGTATAAAGAAAAAAATATATATATAAAAGTGAAGTAAAAAAATAAATAAGGTAGGGTAAGGATAGAATAGGAAAGATGAAGAACAAAAAAGAACAAAATTGATTAAAAGTATTATAAAAAAAATAAAAAAGAGTGTAAGTGAAAAAAATGAGAGTGGAAAAATCAATTCTCTATAACAAAATGTTAATTATCTACGTTGGAGCAATTGTCCATATGTTTATAGATATGTACTGCCATTTGACAAGTGTCGTGATAGTACTATGTTATTGTATAATTTCTTAGAGAGAAAAAAGAGGTCCAATTCAAGATGTGCCAACCAATTATAAAAAAACAGCATAAAGACATAAAGCAAAAAAAGCAAAATGAAAGATTGAAAAAAAAAAAAAAAAAAAAAAAAAAAAAAAAAAATAAGAATAATAATAGATATTATGATCATCCTGCAGTGTTACTACCCCTAACGGAGAGAGCCTAAAGTGGTCAAGTATACATTATGACAAAAAGGGACAAAATAATTGAAGTTGCATCACCTACATTATGACAAAACAGGGAACCCGTTTCAAAGATTGAATCAGAAAATGAGCATCTAATCTGATCTTGCCCGCTAAAATGAAATATATATTTTCTTAAAGCAAATGTGGCTGAACGTGAGAAGTAGTGGAAAAAACATCATCGTTGCCTTTGAAAACAATGGTGGTTGCCCGGCCTGGCATGGATTAAATTAAGCATGAGCTGCACGGCCTGGCATGGATTAAATTAAGTTTAATAATTGGCTAATGTCACATGCTGGTCGTTTTTTAGAACTTTAGAATGAATCTTTATTAAGAATAGCCAATTTACTGCTTACCATCATTTTTTTTAAAATTTCATCCAACTTTCTGTCCAAATTAGGGCCAATTTATCCCCAACAAACCATTTTTGAATTAGATGGGAGGTGCGTAATTTTCCAGTGGGGTTGGGGGTGGATGCTGGTGGGTGAAGCGTGGTAGAGGTGGATGGGCCGTTTGGGAGGGGCGAGAGAGACAGAAAGTTATGAATTTGTTCTTAATTTGGACAGAAAGTTGGATGAAATTTGAAAACATTGACGGTAAAAGGTAAATTGGTTATTTTCAAAAAGTTTGTGTCTTAATTTACCCCAAAACATTGATTGTTGAGAGGGCAAAACCGCGAAAAACCCCTTTATGAATGATTGAGAAACTTTGGTTTTCACAATAAAATTAATTAAGACTTGGAAATCGTGAATTTTTAGCTCTGGAATAGTAATGTCTTTTCTTGCATTGAATAATGAATTTTTTTTTTTACTTTTTTATAACAAGCGATAGAATTTTATTAGAACAACTAAAAAAAGTATAAAAGGAGCCATCCCAATTAGCTGTATGACAGAACGAGAGAGACTTCCATGCAAACGAAATAACCACTTTTTGTTATCCCGACCAATAAATCAATGACACACGAGATAGTTTTTTCACATGTCATTGCATTATTAGTTTGCTATCCTTGTTACAAGAAAGTTCTTTTTTTTTTTTCCTAATAACAGCATACTATTTATAGTCAATCAAGGACGGACCTATTCACAGACTAACTTAGGCTATAGCCCTAGCCTAGGTGTCTTGATTTTTTTTAGCCGATAGTAGTACTCTCAACTCACCCAATCTAACCCCACACACCCTCTTGCGCATAAAACATTCCTTAGCCAACCCGTACGCAGAGAAAAAAAAACATGAAAAAGCTAATCATCCCTGCTGCATGCCAATCACCCATGCCCCCTTCAAGGCTTAATTAAAGGAAACCAAGTTAATTTTCAATTATTAATCTTCTTTTTTTCTCTCAATTCGTTGAT